TGTGTGTGTGTGTGTGTGTGTGTGTGTGTGTGGTGCACAGCCCAACAAAGCGAGGAGCGACTGTAAGGAGCTGAAGATGCTGTGTGCTGAGGACGAGCAGAGCAGAACCTGCTGGATGACGGCCTTCAGACTGCTCAAAGTAAACTTTGATTTGCTGCGTTTAAAACTGGACGGTTGTTGCTAATTGCACGTGGAGCCTTGAGCTGCTGTCTCCTCTCTCCTCAGTTTGGGATAGTGCTGTATCAGAACTACAACGTGCCCCAACAGAGAAAATCTGCCAACTCAAGTTTCTCTGCGCCTGTGGTGAGGATCTTCTCTTTATCTTCTTATTTCATCCCTGCTGCAGCTCAGAAAAGACCCATCCAAACTGACTGCTGAGCTTTGTGACGTATTCTACAGCGAGACGATAGATGATGATGATTTATCCCCCACCACACAGTATTTCAGCTTATTGTGGTGGTATGTTATTAGCTACAACTCCCCAAATGTATGGATGAGTTTTGGGGTTAAGGTTTTCACATTGTAAACATACAGTCAGATTTTAGTCTTTTTGTTTTTAGACCATTTGAGTTTTTTAAGAATAGCAGATAGGTTAGAACAGGGCGGGGCCACCAGCACATCACTTGTGCTGTGTTTAACTTCTACTCCTTACTTTTATTCCTCAGCAGGATAAACTGCCTACTCCTCTATTTAAACCAGTGCTGCCCAAACATTTTCCCCCAAGAGGCCAAAATGAAAATCTCTTCTGGACTAGGGTTGTGCATAATCGTATCGTGTGCAATTAATCGTCAGAAAAACATTAATCAATTACTTTTTTGGCACTTGACGATTAATATGATTAAAGCCACCAGGCAGACTGACTGGGGATTATTACTCCAGTCAGTCCGCTCGCTGCTCCTCTCCGCTTCAAATATGACAAGCATTAAAAATAAAGTTCTGTAATTTATTTATCTATCTACACAATTTAAAATATGATATAGCCTGAAATCTGTTATTTTCACACAATTTGGAACAATTTTTTTTACAAAGAGCAAATCTTTCCCACTAAATTGGTCATGTGACTACGAAATAAGGGTGTCCTTGGATTCCAGGGGATTAATCGTCAAATTAATCATTATCGGCTAAATACCACAATTAATTTTTTTGCCAGTATTGCCCAACCCTGTTCTGGACTGCAGGCCAAATGCAGTAAAATAATACATTAAATAAAAATACTAGTTTAGTAAAGTCCTTTTTTTAGTAACAATTAAGCTAGCAGCGAGTGTGGTGGCCTGCCTTTGTTTTAGTCGGTGCACTTGGAGAAAGTCTGCCGTACGCTCAAGTAGCAAAGGCTCATGGGAAATTTCATAAATTGATAAAATATGAGTTTTTCTGGCCTTATAAAGTGTGGAAATCTACATGTGGTTAAATCTAATGTAAATATCTCTTATTGTTACTTGAATTTCATGTTTCATGTTTAATCTTAAAGGAGACCAATTATGGGTCCTAGAAATGTTTATGGTATGTCTGTGGGCTATCCAGACCATATTCATTCAATTTAATGCACAAAATAATTCTCAGATAATAAAATTTCCCATTTTCTAGTTCTGCCTGCTCTAACTTCCGTTCAGAAGAGCTGTTTATGTTAATGAGCTCTGTTGGTAACGCCCTCCAAAAATCTGTTGACATTAACTCCGCCCTCCAAAGCCAGTGTTTACGTTAGCATTTAATAGCAGAAGCTCGTTGTACAACCATATGAGACCCAGAGGCAGAGTCGTGGTCCCAGCTTCTTTTTTTTTCTCTCCCTCTTCTGCTCTGCGCTCACTCTGCATGCTGTTACCAGAGCAGGGAGCAGCAGCGGTCAAAATACCTCAGAAACACGAACAAATATGCTTTAACAAGGCTTTAATAAGCTAAACAATAGAGGTACACGAGAAAACGTGTTCATAACGAACAAAAATAAATAAATAATTAAATTGTGTCCGTGCCGGTCTCAAACCCTGGTCTCCTGGTCTCTGGTCCAACACTGTACCCATTGTCCTATTGGAGGCTTGTTGGGAAATAAGCTGCACATTGCATGACAACACAGTGACGCTCTTTATATTGAGGAGGAGGAGTCTCACCCGGGGGTTGCTAGATAAAGGGCTGAACGCAGGTTCTGGTGGGTTGTTGTACAGCTTGTGACGTCACAAAATGACGGAAGTATAAAACTTTTCGTTAATATACATTAAAAATACATTTGCTTACAGTAAATATGCCACTGGGTGCATTTTTTTTGGTCCTAGGACTGTTTTTTTAAGATGTACATACCCAAAGTTGAGTAAAAAAACCTTTAAAAAGGGAATTTTGCATAAAAGGTCCCCTTTAATATATTAAAGGTAAAGTCAGCACCATGAGTGAAAACTATCTGCACTACAGCCCCTTTATATAGTCATTGAGACAAAGGATGAAGTGGAAATACTGTTTCTACATAGAACGACAGGTTACAGCCTAGTAACTATGTCGACTGCTGGTGGGCCAAATCAAATGGCTTGGTGGGATAAATTTAGCCCGTGGGCCCCACTTTGTGCTCCTCTGATTTAGACCATAATAAGTAGATTAACACAAGTTTAGATCGTGCATTCTCCTTCAGTTTTTCTGTGCTTTTTTTTTATTAAAAATTCAGAGACTCAACCATCAAGCATCGGGTTATTAATCTAAACTCTTAACTGGTAAATGATCATAAGTCACAATAAGCTATGCAAACTTTGTACTTAAAAATAAGATTTAAACAGTGAATTAACCTGTTAGTGACCTGTGGGGTAAAGGATTATCATACAATAAACTTTAAGTTATAAACCTGCAACTTTAGTCACTTTTTAATATCAAATGAAGAATTTACTTTTTTTTTTAGTTTTTAAAGAGTTTCAGTAGTTTTATGTTGATTTCAAACACTGAACAGCACAAATTTAACAGATGAAATAAATTCCTGTTTGGTCAAATAATAAATGATGTGTTGATCCAAACTTAAAGGCAGATTATTTTCAGATAATCTGCAGAATATTGTTGGATAAACAGTTAAAACATTAAAGTCTCATTAGAAAGTCCTCATGTCTGCATGTAGCAGAACGGTTCGAGGCTCGTGCTTCTCCTCAGAGGAGCGTTGGTGGATTGACTGAACTGGGTCTGTGTGCAGACAGGATTTGTCACGCTCCACTGACTGCGTCTGGCTTGTTTGACCTCTGACCCGTGTCAACCC